CTCCGAAGCCTTTAAAATTCGTTATAATCTCGTTAAATTTGCATACAAACAACTTACTAGAATTGTGTTTAAAAAAAGTTTTTTTAAAAACTCGTGTAGATATGCCAGAAGAAATAAAAGCAATTTATGAACCGTCACCCTTGCTGTTGAAACGTGTACATTCGAAGGAAGTCATCAATTAAGCGCTTTCTGATCTAATAAAAGGAGTAACAATCGATGGTGTTTGTGTAGATAACCCGTTGCAGATTTATCTAAAATCATTGTAGCCGGGTAATTAGAGAGACCTTCGAATTGTCACGAGCAAAACGAAAACAATACCGATCGTTTTATATGTTTATTACTAGCATAAACATGGATTTGCACCGAATGAAGGATAATTTGATAACATAATAACGAGATTAATATTGTCATTAATAACTCAATAGTAATGGAATGTTACAATATGAAAGAATATTTAAAAATAATACAGACGTAGACAAAAGTGCAGTTAAAAAGATTAAGTCATAAAGGTTTGGTGAAAACCGGGAAAGGTAAAAAAAATCCAGAATCAAATTAACCAGAATTAAAATGAATGTTATCGAATATTTGTGGCAGATTTGAAAACATATTTTCCACATTTTTTTGACTAATCCCATAAACGTTTCGAGCGGTTTGCGTTGCGCTAACGTTCTCGGAATTTTCGGCCGCAATTACATATGCAATACGATATTATTAATAACCGTCTTCGTCATATTGTTCCGGCCGTTTTCCTCTGCTTGTAATCACTTACACATACACACATACGCGAGAACAAATAATAAAAACCTGTCCGGCCGAAATGCATTTTCGCCGTCACAGGTAGATCTCGAGAATGCGCTATATTTGCCCGAGAATTCTTATCTTTTTAACGTGTAATTGTCACGTTTACGAAGGAGCAAATGGATATAACGTGTTGGATAACGGGTGGACCGATTCCAAGGAAAACCGTATTTGTTTTTTAATTGACGCAATTACGTTACTAACATAGCAAGCACGGGTAAAAATCGCCTCTTACAATCGCCTTCGAATTTCCAGTGTATATGGACTCTATGACTAATCGCGTATTGCCTACTTGTCCGCCAACGTGTATTTTTTTATAGCAAATTCTAAAAATTCGCAATGTGAAAGAACTTGAGTACCTGTAGTTGCTCATTTACACGTATGACATTTATCCACAACCATTGCATAATACCTTTATGTGAAGTACATTATACAGAATGCTTCCAACTGATATGAGTACAAGCATAAACATACCTTATCTCTATTTTACCTTAAAATTAAATTTACAGTAGGTATGCGTTTGCGTATTATGTAGCAATGAAAATTTAATTCAAGGTTATGATGGTAAAGACTGCGCCCGGGGTCAGTTTTTCCGCTTTTGATGGATTCCAGTGTTTAAACTGAGCGCGTGCTGAGTAGTTTTTATCGTATAAACAGTCGATTTATTATTCGCAATTTAATTAGCTTAATTAACAATCGGCGAACGTGCGATGTTATCATAACTATTTTCGTTAACGTCGCGAGCCATTTTCGATTAGTAAGTTCGTTTGCCGCGAATTAGAAATGCTTTACCTGGAATTAATTCATCAGCAAGATAATCTAATCGAGCTCGTTGGCATTTTGATTCCTCGCAATGATTTTTTTTTACACAGCGAAGAAAAATGTTTGTAATGAGTAATTGCCGGGCTCGTATTTTATCCCAATTAATTCAAATGATGTTCAGCAAATGTTCTAGGATCGTTTCTCAACGCATTTAGATTTTATTAATGGAGAAAAACTAGCATATGTAGTTGTTTGTAATGTAATTTTTTTTCGGGTCGCAACGTTGCCAATTTTTTAATGGACGCGTCAAATTTAAAACTCGACTATGATGGATTATGGTCCACGTTTAATTTTATCTCACCGCAATAATTATTAATCTATATTTAAATGAATTTATGATACAACGGAGAATGTATTTGCTGAATAAATCAAACTACTAATTAACTGTCTGGGAAATGGAACGTTTGAAATTTAAGAAAAACGAGTTATTGTGTGTTCACTATGATTTTTATAAGTGACTGAGTGAGTGTGACAACAAAATATTACTTGTTCAATATCCAAAATTTTGATAACATTTGTATTAGTGTTATTTACGTCTATATAGAAATAATGTTTGCTATTTGCTTACTGATAAAGCAATTGATAACGATCTTTTTTAACTGCAACCAAAAGGTATTACGAATAATGTGCAATTACGTTTTAAAAAACCAAATAATCAGCTATAATTTCCTCTATTTATAGTTTTTTAATTATTTGCACTTTTCTGTCAATTAGTGCATAAATATTAAGAGGCAGAGTTTCGCGCAACCGTTGCTTTTATTTCTTCTGACACAATATTCGATTACAGGAAACTTGATATTCTAATATCACGTAAACGATACGTTTTTACTCGTTTTGCAAACACCACTTCTGGTACTAAAAGAAGACTCGAACGAACGCCCGTCGATAGAAACAAAATCGAATACGATTGCGTAATAATACAATTAATAAAGTTTTTGAGGTGTACGTTTTAAATTTCGTCGATTAGCTAATTTTACAACGTTTACGAATTGGAAAACCGTCGATTACGCTTTTTATCATCGTCGAATTTGTTTGCTCTGTGTAACGTCACCTCATCGAAGCCACCACTTAATTTTTATTGTTGTATCGATAAGTTTATTGTGAGCGAAACAAAACAGTTCAACGACAAAACGTATACACACACGCACGCACATACAACATACACACGGGCGGGAATCGCAGTAATTCGATTTATTATTTTTAACTGTGTGTCATATCATATGCTAAATGAGTTGTTTTTTATGTACTATTTGAATGAAGCGTTGAAGTAGTAGTTCCATTCTTACATAAAGGTCGTGTCGAAACGATTAATTGTCTAGTATTCTTCATTTTTTAACGAAAACCAACTCGTTTAGTGTATAGACGGAACGTTCGCTAATTTTTCGATTTATCAGAAGGAATGTGATTAATCGGAGTTTACTATGTGGTCGAAGCAACAGGATACGCGCAGCGCCAACAAAAACATGACATCATTCCGGAGCAAGATAACGAACCGGAAGCGGAAAAACTCGAAGACCAGAACCACGGCAACGGAGAACGTTGACGGCGTCGCGACGGATTTGACGCCGTCGAAATCGCAACAGGGCGACGAGAAGCAGAAGGCGAGCAAGTCGGGCAAGCACAGGGGCAGGAGCAGAGGCAAAAAGGACGCGGCAGTGACGAAAAGTGACGTGGAACCGGTGAAATCGAACGAAAACGGCGCTCTAACCGATCGCGACCTTGATACGGCGGACGTGGTGCTTCGGAATGCCGCCGACGTGAAAAGGACTAACAGTAACAATTCGATCAAACGATACAGTGACAGCATTGTGATAGATAACGATAACGGACAGATAAAGTTGAAGGAAGAAAACGACGTCGTGCCGCCCATACTCACGAGGGCCGTCAGCGGTTTCTTCATCATAGATCAAGCGAAGAGGACCAGAAGACTGAGCGATCTGTTCAGATCCTCCAGCACGATGAAGTTATCGGCCAGCACGGAAAACCTCAACCAAAAGAACAGTATTAAATCGAAAGAAACCAACGCTAAGGAAACTGCTGCGAATAAAAAGCAAGAACAACAAAACGCCAAATCCAAACGGAATGCCACCAAGGTATCGTCGAACAGCAGTTTCAAAGAAAACGCCGGCAGCACCACGACCAGCTCGTACTCGTACCTGCGGCGCGTCAGATCGAAGATATACAAATCCAAAAACGACCAGCCCGCCGACGAGCCGGACGCCTCCGCCAAAATGAAGAAGCTCAAGCACAAGAAGAGCATCGAGATCAACAGCAGGATACCGGAGGACGAAGTGGCCGTGCTGACGCCGAACGGTTGCCGGAAATCCCTGTCGAACTTCGACTTTCGCCTGACGCGACAGACCTCCAACTTGGAGTTCGTCAGGCCGAAGACCGTCGAGCCGGAGTTCGTCAAAGCGGAGAAGCCGGCGCTGGCCAAGGCGAAGTCGAGCAGCGCCATCAATTTGAGCCTGTTGCGCACCAGGAGAGACAGGATCTTGGAGAAGGTGGGCTCCAAGTCGGCCGCCAAGGACGTGCAGAACGAATTCGATTTCATCGCTTTCGGTAGCGTCAACGGATTGGCGAATAGCGAGAGGCTATCGGGGTCTCAATCCAGTTTGCAAAAGCAGCCCAGTTGGTTGCACATACACAAAGATCAGCAAGGTAAATCGATGATAAATTCGAGCGTTTATTCTTTTTCGAATTGATAATGTAAATAGAATATTTGGATGGCCTTTGAGAAGGCTGCTCGTCGGCCTATCGACGAAGGTCGAGCGAAATATACACGTTTACTTGGAATAAATTTTAATTGCGAGCTACTATAGCTATCCTTAGATAAAGTCTAGTACATGTTTTTATTAATGTAACGTTTCGAAAACGAGACGATTTATTACGTTTTCATCTGATATCAACGTTACGGGACAATAATTATGCGGTGACCTTTTTTTTGAAAGATCCCAAGACCGCTGTAAAAATAAACATAAACGAGGCTTACGTATTAAATAGTAATAAAATAACAATATTATCGAGTTTTTTTCTCGTTGCACTTTGCCCTTTTACGCGCAATTAATAAATATTTTTACTGTGAGAATGTGACCAAACTTGTAATCGAACAGAAACAAATTATCGAATATCTATTATTATCTACACAAAAATTTAATTACACAGTAATTTTATAGTTTACTCAAATAAGAACAGATGCACACTATGACATAGCAAATACCCTCAAACGAACCCAATTTATTCGGTAACCCAATACACTTTTAACACAAAGCATCCCCGTTAAAAGAAATGGACGTTATCTCTATTCGCCTTCGATAAAAGGAGGTTTTTATTATTTTATTCTTCCCTCATTTTTTTTTCTCCCGGCTTTGTTTCAGTAGATCTAAAACAAACGCACCCAGTGTCTCGAAGCGGGTCCGACAGAAGGCCGGATGCCGTTCGCGAAGAGGGTCTCAAGCAACAGGACTCCACCAAGACGGAATTCTCTCACGATGTCCTCGGCGATAGAATGGAGGGCCCCAACATGGCCAGGTAATTTGATTTTCTTTTGCACCATAGATATCGAAAAACTGTAGGACTTCATCCTAGTTCTAGAATTCTAGACAGTTCTGAATGATTGTGGAGCTTTCTAGATTGCTCTAGATAGTTCAAAATGGTTCTAGACAGTTCTAAATGGTATGCTACGAGACTATTGTTGGACATTAATACGCGAGACGGACCTAAAATCATACAAAAAAAAGTTCAGCATTTCTAATTTGTGGTTTCTAATTGCATTATCCTAAGTTCTTTGCACGAAACCTTGTAAACTATTGGAATCGATTCGAACGCGCAATTTATCTAGTGGCATTGTTTTAATTTGAACGAAATAAATCGGCGGTAGGTAATCGATATTTACGGGAGATTAGATTAGACGTTATCAACGGTAGTTGCAAATAGACTGTGCGGAGAATGGAACAAATTCCAGTTTCGACTTTTGACCGCCGCCGAATTCGTTTGCGAACGTCGAATTTTCCACGAAACGCGAAGAACATGGTTCTAATATAGTCGAGTGTTTTAAATACGGAGAGAGACATGTGGACCGGAGATATTTTGGGGAAGCAAAAAACGAAAAAGACGCTCCATAAGTCTAGGTAGTGTAGAGTGCGTTCGACTGGTTATGTGTGTTTATTATCCTATTTGCTTTTAAAGAAGTCTTTAAATAACCGTCGTTTAGAATGGCTTCCGTTTTCGAAATGTATCTGGCTATTTTTACCTACCCTTAGAAGACGGAACATATCGAGATAAATCGTGGTTCAATGTCATTAGTTTCCCGTATTAAGTGAACGAATAATATACTGTAACACTATTTTTTTTCAATTATTTTTACAGCAGTACGATACTCCCTGCTGCTGGCAATCAAAGGAAACACCACAGTAACATCAACAGATCGGAAAGTGTGAAAGAACAGTCTGAAAAGGTAATACTTTCGAATTATCTACATACAATAAAAAATAGGAACGTGCTTTAAATCAAATCGTCATTAAGTACCTTTAGAGGAACGAATTTATTCAAACGCAATCTAGAACATAATTGGTATTTTAAGATGCACCGTTTCGAAACGTCGCATTGAATTCGTTTCGTTTATTTGCAGAGGAAACAAAGGCGAAACATCAGTGACCCCTCGCACAATACCACAAGGTGAGTGTTGCAATTTATTTTTCAATTGGCCGTAAAGCCGTGTATGGTACCACGATTCGATCGGAATGGGTACTTACCGGACTGAGGTTTCCATAAATCAAGAGTGCGCCTATAGGGAACGAAATGAATTCGCTCTAACGTTATTAAAACGTTCATAATTTCTTCGGGTCGATTGGTCGTTTGGTTTTTTATTGGTACCATCGATGTTTAATAAAGCTGCAAAAGTCGTTGATTGATAGACTGATTTTATAACGCGCCTAATTGTTTGCTCTCTCTAGATATTTGTAGCGCATTGTGAGTTGTGTTTTTTTCGACTATTCCATATTGATGCAAATTTTGTCTGTTCTAAAGAGCCTTCAGGTGTTGTTGATTATGAAGTGTGATTATTATTTTTTGAGAGAAATTTAAGGAAGTGTATTTTTAATGTCGTGTTGAAAGAAAGCCACCAAATTGAGGATTAGCCGGTTGAAATTAGATGCAAATTTTTATTACTATTTGAGAAAGTAATTAGACGCAACACCTGTTCGAGTTGGTGTTAATTTTTATCCGAGAGGCCCGCATAAAAATCTCGCTATTTTTTTTGGAAAAAATGATAGGAAAATGTATTTTGAAATTGTGTAAAATAAAATTGTTAGCTCACATGCAGGTGTAACCTGACTGCGATGGGTATTCGCTTACAAAATGACGCGATTTAAATGCAAATTTAAATTTATTAATATATATTTTTTATTAAAAACCTCGTTGTAACCTTGATAAGATTTCGCTTAGATAACTTGAGTACTATTTACAGAATTAAATTGTTTCGTTTTAAATTCGAGTAAATTCACCCTTTATAGTAGGGTTGCATTTTTGGCATATCTCGAACTATTTTTATCGCTTTTATATTTATTTTCCGGTAATAATATCGTCCTCTTTTTGGTTGCCTATACGCTACAATTCCGTTCCATTCACGATATTATACCCCATTCAACTTGATTAGAAAGCGAATGAATGGATTTTCTATCTACAACCGTATCACTGAATCTCGGAAAAACTTTGGAAACCCATTACTTCGATGAATCTATTGTTTACTATTTGTCTGATTATAAATGAACACGAAGAAAAAAAGTTCAATCATCGGGATAAATTCGTGTTTGTTTTCCCGGAATTATTTAAAATTTAACGCGCGCTTGTAAATTAACTTGACGGTTTAACAAGCACGCGTTGCGTTTTTAATCGATGCAAAACGACGGCCAATAAAACGTCCGAGTTTTCCTCTTTTCTTATTTCTTTTCGCTTTTTTCCCGTTCCGTTTACGATCCCTCGTAAATTCGGTTTATCGGCCATGCGAATTACGCTATTTTTAAGCCGTATCTCGTTGACTTAACGCCGATTATAATCGGTTAGGTAAATGTTGCGGTGCCGGTTTTTTTAGCCGTTGTTTAGCACGGAAATTTATTGCAATTTCGTTTCTTCTGTTATTTAGAATAGCCTTGAAGATCGCCGGATTTTAGTCTGTTGAAGTTTTTTTTTATTACTTCGTCTGCATTTAGAACACTCGAAATAAACTTCTAAACCTGTGATATAAGTAGCTAAATTGATTTATGGAATCCTCTTTAATATTACAATAAATTCGCTACAAATTATTATTACTTTTTAAACAGCGGAGATGTCGATTTGGAACGGAACGCAGCTTTGTCGAACACGGATTCGGGAAGTTCATCGAATTCCAGTATCTCATATAAGTAAGTAAATAACACTCGATGACCCATTTTCAAACGCCTGTAACATTTCCCGAACAATATTTTCGCCAAACTCGATCGAAAACATTGTAAAAGTGATGCAATCGCCCAGCGTAAAGCACATGTGCTGCTGCATAAAAAAAAACATATTTACATCGGTTCATTCGATTACTCAAAGAGGACAAGTTTGCTGTTTGTTCTGTTATTTCTGTTAAACATAAAGAGTCATAAAAAGCAGCGCAGGTTTCATCTCCGGCTATACCTGCAGGTACTGTACATGTAGTAAAACATTCTACTTGTTAATAGTGGCAGATTGTCCGAAAGTCCGAGCAACAGCGTTGATGTAGTACAAGGTGAAGCGAGGCGAAGAAATTTAGACTCAGACAGCGACATCGACGCCGATTCGGAATGGCAGGCCCTAGTCTCACCCGAAGAATTCAAAAACCTCTCGCCGCAGGAGAAAAAACGCCAAGACGTGATAAACGGTACGTTACTAACAACAATAAAATCCACCGGAAAAACTACAAAATAAAATTTCCAGAATTCTTCCACACGGAGAGCTCGCACGTGCGCAGCCTGAAGGTCCTCTACAAGATCTTCTACAAGAAGATCCAGGAGAGCCAGACGCTGAAGCCGGACGAGCTGCAGCTGGTGTTCCCCAACATCAAGGAGCTGCTCGACATCCACAACGAGTTCAGCAAGGAGATGAAGCGCAAGCGAAAGGAGGACCCGTTGATCGGCGATTTGGGCGCGCTGCTCGGCAACATGTTCGGCGAACGGTGCGGCGAATCGCTGAAGAGGGCCGCCGCGAATTTCTGCGAGCGCCAGCAGATGGCGCTCGAGTTCATCAAGAAGCGCCGGGAGAGGGACTCGAAGTTCGACGCGGTGCTGTTGGAGTGCGAGAAGAAGCAGCAATGCAGGCGGCTGCCGTTCCAAGGCATCCTGCCGACGGAGATGCAGAGGCTCTCGAAGTACCCGTTGTTGCTCGAACGGCTGATCCACAGCGTCGAGACGAACAAGGAGGCGGACGCGGAGAGGGCGCAGCACCTGGTCGACGAGGTGGCGAAGCTGAGGAAGGCGCACCATATGTCGAAGGAGATATTGAATCACGTGAACGAGGCGGCCAAGGTGGCGCACAACAAACATAGACTGGAAGAGATTCAAAGGCTATTGGATACGAGCAGCTTCGAGAGGGCCGATCACGCCGTCGTGCAGGAGTTTAGGTCGATAGATTTAACGAAATTTAGGTAAATGAATACTCCGACGAATCGATGATAGAAAATTACTACTAATCGTTGTCGTGGTTTTGCAGGTTAATTTTAGAAGGGGGTATGCTGCTGAGGCGACCTAACAAACCCCTCGTACCGGTACACATTTTACTTCTAGAGGAAGCGGTTATTATTCTCCAAAAGGATAACGATAAGTTTCTCCTCAAGTTTTTCCAATCGAATTCGCAAACGCAACTACAACCGTTTTCTCCCATTATTAAAATGAATACGCTTTTAGCGAGAGCCAATGCTGCATGTAAGTTATATTTAATATCACTATAACTAAACCAGTCTTTCGGGATTTTCTCGGAAAGTACTCCGACAATTTTTTTGAAACTTTCCTAAAATATTCTTTACATTATAACAAATTACTTGCCACAAACCGCATGTCCCGGAAACTTCTGGAGGCGACGTTCTAAGAAAAATAAAATTTTCCGGGAGATTGAGGAGTGACATACGACTAGTTAACTATAGTATTATATTTTTTTTTTAGGCAAGAATGCACTGTTTCTTGTAAATACGGCAGCAAATAACAGTCAGATGTACGACCTCGTCGTCGAGGACGAAATCAAACGTGAAATGTAAGTATTTCGTTCATCTATAAGCCATTTTATTTATTATAGGAAAATCGTTTTGAAACGTTCTATCGAGAATTTTTACGCCGTCGATAATTTCAATTTGTTATTTTTATGCCGACATTCGTCGTTATCTAGTCAATTTCGAATCTATGACACGTTAATGTCGCTTAAACAGTTTCGATATTTCCATCGAACCGATTGAATTCCATTCCTAATAACCAGCGCAAAACGCTTTTGTGTCTAGTCGTTGGAAATTACTGTGCAGGTATAGTTATTTTTTTCCTATTAATTACACTCATTAATTAATAAAGTGTAAAAATTTCTCGTTAAAGGGTTTCAGTAGAGTTTAGTAGACATTTTTTTTTATTTTGTAATTGAGTGGTAACAAAAATTATAACTACAGTACATTTTTAATAGGATTATAAAGTTTGTGCACGGAACATTACCCTATAAAATGCTCATTATTGATTCAACATCGATCATACACAAAAATAGCAACAATTAAAAACTAAACACAACCATGATAATGAACTTCCCGACGAGATAACCCCTAAAACCCGCCATTATAATCTTCCATTACGTTGCTTACATCGTCGTTTGCGGTAAATTGAGTCGTTTTTATCGCGTTTCTCTCGTTATTTATCGGACAAAAAAAAAAACACATTTTTAATTGTCGTTTCGTGCATTCGCTCTGTGCAATCGCCGGACTAGGCGACTTTATTTTTTTCAACCTTGTTCGTTCGATCTATACCACTCGGACATTCCTAACGTACGGGGCAAATACGAAAACGTTAAGGTTAGTATGCGTGTTGAAAGATGAAACATTACTTTTTATTAGCGTTTCTCAAACGTTAAGTTGTATAATAAAGTTGTAGAGGTCGTCGATTGATTCAGCGATTGATTAATGGTATTTTTATGCCTTGTTAAGTATCGTGTTTAACTAGTTTTTTTCGTAGGTACGAGGGGTGTTGCCAAAGTTGTGGGATAGTTGCATAAACATTGCATAGTTTTTCACCAGTGACATTGCCTAGAGTACTTTGGAAACATCCCTCGTATTTGCATCCTTTAATCGATAGGTAGGAATTAGTGCGGTTGATTAAATTGCGTAAGTTAATTCGGAGATGTGTGTTTTTTTTATTGATGATTTTGCGATAAATCACGGAACAAGCAACCGACCAGTTGCTGTATAAATAGATTGTTTGTTTTCCTTATACTCGTTTTATGTTGTATTTTAGTAGTTCCTTGGAAATCGGAAAAACGGTAACGCAAATTAAACCCAGGACCCAACGGGAATGTAATAAAAAATTTGCTATTGCGTTCTTCATTACTGCTTCCGAAATAATTTGAAAAATCGTTCGTATTAATAAACTCATCGCTGGATTTACCCGCAATTTTACTAAACGAAAAAAACAACTTTTCGAATCGACCTCGGTACTCGTAAACGAGCGATTGATAGAAAGAAAAATACCCATCGCGTTGCATCTCTAATTCCGATGTATATTTACAGAAGCATCTAAATACGCTATATTTGTTTAGTTAAGGTAATGTAATGATATTATACTATAAGTAGCAGGACCGTCCTTGATCGGCCAATCGGACAGGCCGCGGTGGTTTCTTTTTTATTTTTTCGGTCCAGTCGCTGCTCGAACGCGCGTTCGATTCGCGCTAAATCTACGCCGAGTTTAGTTCCAAATTTATTTAAAAGCCGATCCGTCGTAATCGGGGGGCGCAATCGATGGGGTTGATTCGATAAATCGTTAGCGATAATGCCGTTCGCGCGACACCGATCGAACTCGTCCTCGTTTCGACGGCCTCTCAAGCAGTCGTCCTGCGAGAAATTCGACGACGGCGGCGCCGCGACGCTCGAAAGACGCGGCAGTTTGTCGCTGTACGTCGGCACCATCGTCGAGAAGCGCCGCAGCAGCCTCATTTGCAGGTAGAAATTCGAAATCCACCTTTTCCCGGCTCGTTATAAACCAAAAAAAAATGTTTTTGTGTCGTTGCTCTGTAAATTTGAAAATTTTATTTTTATTGTGGCGTTTTTGGAGTCGTTTGGAGGATTTTTGGTGCAATGAGACGCCTTAATACAAATGTTCAAGTCTATTTCGCGAATATAATTATGTATATAGACGGTTTAGGTGCTTCTCTGATAGTATTTTAATGGGTGTAAATGTAAATCAGCAATTTGGTATACTTGTTCTAAAAACTAAATTGTTTTTATCGCATTTTTCTATCGATTTTCGATCGATTTTTCTATCGATCGAATGGTGTAAGACCACTTTAGTTAAAGTTTTTGGCCTGACAAGGAAATACACACCGCGATTTTCAATTGAAAAATTACATTATTCTTCTAATTAAGGCGAAATCATTATTGCAACGCAGTTCTAAACGATTCTGAGGCGTTCTAAATGGATCTAGAGAATTCTAAATGGTAATGTTGCGTTCTAAATAGCACTATACAGTTTTAAATGTTTCTGGAGCGGTCTAAATGGTCCTAGAGAGTTCTCAATGATTTTGGACAGTTCTAAATCGTTCTAGACATTTCTGAATGATTCAAATGATTCTAGACAGTTCAGAAGCGTTTTAAATGATTCTATACAGTTCAGAAGCGTTCCAAATGATTCTAGACAGTTCAGAAGCGTTTTAAATGATTCTATACAGTTCAAGAGCGTTCCAAATGATTCTAGACAGTTCAGAAGCGTTCCAAATGATTCCAATAAATCAATTAGACAGTTCAGGAGTGTTCTAAATGAATCTAGACAGTTCAAGAGCGTTCTAAATGATTCTAGACAGTTCAGAAGCGTTCTAAATGAATCTAGACAATTCGGGAGCGTTCTAAATTACTCTAGACAGTTCGGGAGCGTTCTAAATGACTCTAGACAGTTAAGGAGCGTTCTAAATGATAATGGTTATTTCGTGTTCGCAGATGGTTTAGGCACTTCTCGGACGCCACCGAGTCGTACAAGAAGCGCCAGGGCAAGTCGTCGGACCGGCAGGAGCCGTCGTCCGATTCGGAATCGGAGCTGGTGCAGGACCTGCCCGACGCCGAGGAGATCGCCCAACGGGCGGAGGCGATCGGCGGCGACGAGGCCGCCGCCGTCGCGGCGACGCCGCCATCGCAGGAGCCCGGCGAGCGGGAGGAGCCGTCCGAAGGGGCGGGCGACGATCGAGAAGCGGACGACAGGGAATCGGAACCGTCGCCAGGTAATAATTTTTAGCGGCTCGTCGGGCAGCGTTTATTTTTGTAAATTTCGTTTGGATCTCGCGAGTTTGTTTAGTCGAACGAATCGGCGTGGCTCGTGGGAATTGGGCAGTTTGCGTTCGGCGTTTCGATGCGTTAGAATGTTTATTTTGGCTCCGAATTTTATATGGATAATAGGGTAAATCGTTTTAAAGGTAACTAACTAACTCGCCTTCGTTTTGTTCTCCTAAAAATAATGCTTTATAAATAAATTCGTGGAGAGAATAGGAGTATTACACGTTTACTTAGCTACTACACTTCTCTTTTATTATGGCACTTTGAAACTAAACGGGGCACTTGTGGTGTTTTTTTTTTTTAGATATGGTCGTTGGTGGTGGTATACAAACAACGAAGGTTAGCGCCGAGGAATGGCCGTTGATACAACCGTCTCAGGTCAGCGTCGCCGTACCTCCCGTTCACACGGCCGAATCCATGCTCACACCTTTAGGTATGCACCGATTCCAAAGCACTAGCAAAATCTTTTGCACCTAATCATACATGCAAGGTGTTTCGCATTAGAGTTAGCACGGAGCACTTAACTGTTCTTATACTAAACCGAATACCTGACAAGTTTAAGGCCGTAACGGCCTTTAACTACCCAGTTGTTCGATTTGACTTACTTTTTTGTTTTCTGCGTATCGGTTCTCATACGAAGCACCTTTTGTTACGTTATAAATAATTGTATATGTGTAATTTTGTTGGGTGTGTTGTTTCAGAACAAATCCGTCGCAAGGACGCGACGGTGAAGCAGGCGCTCGAAGACAAGGAGGGCCTGGTGGCCGACATGCTGAGCATACCGCGCGAGCACTTCGAGCACATCGCCGACATGGCCTCGATGGAGCCGGCGCCGTCGGCGGCGGCGTCGTCGTCGTCGTCGTCGGGCGGACGCGATCCGTCGGAGAGGGTGCTGGCGTCGATATTTCGCGTCAATCAACTGCAAAAGGCTGTGAACGATTCGTTGAACGTGACCGAGGCGGAGGCGGCGGCCGCCAAGGGCGGCAGGTATCCGGCGTGCGCCGCCCGACGGGCCCAATCGCCCGATCGACGACGGCCCAACGTTCCGACCGTACCGACTGCTTTAGTTAGGGAAATTGCGAGCTCTCTTAGTTCACAGCTTACGATCCTCTTGGTAAGGAACAGCACTGAATAAAAACACCTATAAACTGTGCAATTGGATGTTGTCAGATACATGTTGAAAATGAAGTGTATACAGAACGGTTAATAGATGCATAGAACGTTTGAGAGATGCATAGGACAGTTGAAGGATGCTTGGGAGGTTGAGAGAAGCTTAGGGTGTTTGAGAGATGCTTAGGAAAGTTAAGGGGTGAACCTTGGAAAGGGACCGTATTCAATGGTTGAAAGATATTTAAGATAATTCACAGACGCTTAAGACGTTTGAGAGAAACTTGGGATAGTTGAGAGATGTTTTGTCTAATTGAGAGATGTTTGAGAAAAGCTTGGGCAAGTCGAGAGAGTTAGGTTTTTTTGTTAATTTCTTTGTTTGTTAATGTTACAGAGCGAAGTGAAACAAATCGAAGACGAGAGAGACATGTTGAGGAAGGAACTTTACAAAGTAAGAGAAAGACTGCACGAAGAGAATAATCTTCATAGTCCAATACCGGTTGATGACGACAATATAACTGAAGGTGCCTTAGATCAGAGCACTCTCAACGATAGTATACAGGTAAATTAATAAATAGGATATTTTCAAAGCTACATGAATGTATCATTATCGTGTCTTTTAAATTAGCTTGATATAAAGTAGTTGGAAATAATTTCTTAAGCATTAATTTATACTAATTTATGATTTATTATTTTACAGTTGGTGTCGAAAAGCGATTGCGAAGACGACGAGTAATGAACTGATGGCCTAAGCATATTTGGAAGTCATTATCATTTTAATTATTCTTTTTTGTACTAAAACTTTTTTTTTGGCCTTTTTGCATGGATAATCTAAGCAGTGTAAATTAATATTTATATTTATATATACATATGTATACATTACCTAACATAATATAAAAAGGTATTACTTATATATTTTTATAAAGAACAAAGAAATGTGATTATACACGATTGGTTTCCTTGGATGTTCCGGCGACTGTTTAAAAAAAGACCCGTTTTTTTTTGGAATTTTCGTATCAGTGCAATAAATGCTTTTGTGTTTGTGGGAAAAGTCGCCAGACGAACGTTGAGGCAACATTTTGTAATTTATGTGTAAATAATGTAGCATAGGTTTTTAAAAATTTTGTTAAAGCGCAGAATATCCTTGCATATAACGCGTAATTAATCGCCAAACAAAAATATATCCATTTGAATACTTTTTTTATACATATTTTTTAAATTGTTTTTAGTAAGAATTGTAAATAAATAGTTATATTTGGGTTATTCTGTATGATGTATAGGGTCTTTCACGACGATCATCGTTGTTTAATCTAGATGTACGTAAGTACCGATTTTTGGTATAAAAGATTGTCAGTAAAAATAAAAGTATGTAGTTCTGGGAATAAATCAGTTATCAATAAATGTAGAATGTTTATAAAACTTCATTTTCAACCCAATGTACGAGTAGTTTATGTATAGTTTTTGAAATTAAACTATTAAGCAATTATTTAGACATTTAGTTGATAAATTATCTATTTCAACCGTAACTTTTACACAGAAAATTTCCTATTTAATTGGCGTTGAAAATAGAGTAAATGTAATTTTTTATGTACGCATTATACTGTTTTATTTTTGGTACTATTATATAAAATTTTGTTACAATTGTCCTAACTAAATATTTACCTAATATGCAACATGAACATATTTTACTTGAAAAATTCATCGTGATGACCTCTGTATTTATTATTTATAAAACGGTTCTCATTTTACCTGATAATAGTATTGTATTTATTTGTTGGAAAAAATTTAATTCAATTGGTGTATTTTAAAGGAATGTGTGGGTGTGTTATACGATATAACAATACCAGTGTTGTTGTTTTAAAAAAAATGTTAATCGTTTCAAAGATCATTTTGATTTTACGTGAAATACAACTAATTCGATTAGGTAATTGAATTAAAAATTACTGGAATCCACTGGATTGTTCCCTTTTTTTAATGCTTTTAGCTGATCTAATTGGTTGAAATGAATTTTGAAAAAAAATTAGGAGATCCGTGTTTTATGATTACTGATGAAATATGTATAAAAGTGCCTTTGAAGCACCCTTTGTTGTTCATATACCGCTTTTGTATAACGCTTTACCCCATTGTGCGTTTTGTTTAGGTGGTAAAAAAACATTTTTGAAAAAAATCGCTCGCATTTAAATATTCGTAGATGTACAATATTTTAATTCTTTTTTTACTTTTTTTTTGTCTTTACTCAATAGTCGGAGAAATAGCAACACATTCAATTTGTTATCATGCAATTTATACAATCAGAAATAACGTTTTATTATAAATAAAATTCTTCAAAACTCGCCTTGCGTTTTTAATCTGCGACTTGCACCATCGAAAATTAAGCAACTAGTAAAAAATTTGTACTTTAAAACTATAAAAGATTAATATACAGTTGGTGCAAAACAAATATCAATGCACGTCATCTATGATTTACTACGTCACAAGTAGGCAGTGTTGCCGAACTGTTATAAAGTTTACAAAATCTAAGAATTTTCTAAAATTGTCAAATGGCAAAATGACAAGAACAAATTGAAAATTAGGGGTACCTGTTTCACGTATATTTGTTCAACACCCACTGTACATATGTACTTTTCCTGTAAGGTTCCTGTTTAAGTGAAAGCGTTCGCACAAGGTACTTGTATGTAATTGAGGCAGAAACCTTTGTTATCGATATCATTCGGAGCTTCCACACCATCTGAATGGAAATACATATGGAAAGGCCTCACGTTGCCTAACACAAAAAATTATCATTACGACTACTCAAAATTTAAACAATTCTTAACTCACTTCTTACTGGCGTAGGCATGGTGGTAACATCAGCCGCCAAAACACCCCCGCAAATTCGATCCACGCTGCTCGACAGCCCCGTGGCCGGTCTCCCAACGTTCGAGGCCATCGGGATGATCAAGTAATCCGACTGGCAGTAGTTCGAATTGCCGGTACTTCCCACCATCGCCGGTACTCTGTTGTTCGAATTCCCCGACAGCGTGAACGATTGATTGCTGTTCGAGTCTGCAACAAAAAAATATATAGGGAACGAGTTTGTGGAGTATTTTGAAGAGAGTCGGTCAGTAAAGCGATGGTTTGTTTGAAGGAATAATTTATTTGAAGCGCCGTACAAAATTATATAACGAGTAAATTATGCTATGGTGGATAAGTGTTGGGTAATCCGTGCCGATTTCTTTAACCGTACCAATTCTGAGGGCCGAAGGAGCCCGGCGTTCCGTAAGCAATTTGCGTACCGTAAGTACCCGGCCCCATTTGGTACGCACCTGGACCTTTGAAATTATTCATAGGTCCGTAAGAGTTCAACTGCCCGGGATTGAAGGAAAACTGCGACATGTCGTTCGGGTAGTTCCCCGGAAATTGCCCCTGCATTTGCCCCTGCATTTGCACCTGCATTGGTCCCTGCATTTGCCCCTGCATTGCCATTTGCTCCTGCATTTGCCCCTGCTGTTGTATCTGGATGTTGTAATCGAACTGAGGCATTACAAAATTCTGCAAAACGTTCGAATTAGATTTCTTCGTATCCATCTTTCGTTGCTCCTCATCCTCATCCACATCCTCATCATCATCTTCATCCTCATCACCAACAAAAATCAAACCATCAATATTCCCGAGGGAATCCTCGTCGAAGACATCCACATCGAAATCGCTCTGCACCAGATCATCGAAATCGATATCGCTCAAATCGATATTATCCAGATCGTCGTAGTCCAAACCGAAGGCCTTCGGCCGCAACGAGTTGTTGATCTTCTGCTTCATGAACTCGTCCAGCACGTCGACGATCAGCTTCACGCCCCGATAGTAGACCAGCTTGCCGATCGTCAGGCACGAGGCCCGCGGGATGCCGGGCGAGCGAACGCCCGCCTCGCCTTCGACGAGCCGCTGCTCCTCCGCGGAGGACCGGGAGTCGTGCTTCGGGCGCTCCGCCAGCGAGGCGAGCTCCTCCTCCGGGTCGGGCGAGGCGAACCGGCCGCTGGGCAACGTCAGCACGGCCAGAAGGAGAATCTGGAAGGTAGCTGTTAGTGTACCGGTGGTGCAACGTGCCCCCTAACTTACTTGTTTCATTTCCATTACTAGTCGCTGAGTGGACGCTTAAATACGTTTTCGATCCGGTGGTTGTTTTAACGATGCTAATTATACGCTTATAAAACTGCGAAATTTATGTTTGTGGTTACAAAAGATTGTAAAACACCCACTAGGTTGATTAAATTGATCAATCCTATCACTTTAAAGGTTTATATGCAGCTCTTGCTTCAAACACAACAATCAAACCCCAATTATTCAATTTGTAAAACCGAAACAACTAAAATGATACAATATGATGATACTAATGATGATACAACTAAAAATTTCTAAAACTTTGACCACGATTGCAATCAAAACGCCTACTAACGCTATTAAACCGTTTATTTACGTACAACCAATTTCGATTACTTTATTTTATTGTACCCCATGGGCATGGGATACCCCGGTATCGGGTAGTTATTCTGATAATAACTTTGCTGCGGATACTGTGGCATATATCCCGGCTGTTCGCCGTAAGGGGGCGGCATCGGGGGCCTGAATCCCATCATATTGGGCGGCATTCCCTGTTGACCCATCGACTTGGACATATCCTGCGGTTGCTGCATCCCCGGTGGCGGTTGCATACCCGCCGGCGGTCGCCCATTCGGCGGCTGCATCATCTCGGGCGGCAGGCGAACTTGGTCTCGATCGTTGGTGTTACTCAGCAGGCCCAGCAGGTCCAAGCCGTGGGGATAGCCGGTGTCGTCTTGCAGATACTCCATGATAAATTTGTAGACGATGTTCGCCGCTGTGGTGAGGATGCCCATGATGCTTTGGAGACTCATGCCTTCGGCGGCGCATATCGATAGGAATATAACGCAAAGGGCGAGCGACTAAAAATCAGAATTGTACCTGTTTGCGAGTAGCTGGATTTCGACTTACGATTTTTACGGTCATATTCGGAATTGTTCTGAAACCTGTTACATACTTGCGACGACGAATGTATGAAATGATTAATTTAAAGACGCCCACCTTTGAAACCGTGATTAAATCGATTATAATTTGTGCATACAGTAGTAAATTTTGCAATTTGTACGAACATTTTAAATGCCACAGCGGGTGTTTCATATTGTATGTTTTTAAGAAGTAAGTATTTAACAAGAAATAATTGAAGATTATTTATTTAGAGTTCACCTAATAAAGTTTCCTAAAATTCGGATACAATCAAATCAACAATTTTTTCCTATATTTTTTATTCTTCCTCTGCCTTTTGTTCCTCCAATTTCCTTGCATATCAGGATATTGCCCGTAGGGACTGTAGTGGTATCCATAACCCATTCCTGGATACATTCCAATTCCCCTGTATGGTTCCATTTGTGCATAAGGATACAAAAACGGCCAATAAGGATTCATGTGTGGATACCCCATAGGATACAAGCCGTCCTTAGGATGATCTTCTATATACTCCAGAAAATTTGAAGCCTGCTCGTTGATTTTAGGATTTTTATCGATGTGATTTAATCGATACCATTGGGCGAAATTGAGCAATTTTTTTACCAATCGTTTCAACAAATCGGCATCCGCCAAGGCAATCAAAAGGAAAGCGACGAAAAATCCGGCCTGGAAAAATCTCAGGTGGCTTTTCTTCTACAAATGCTAATTACTTTTACGTACTTACGATTTTAAATTTCATATTAGGCGCACTTTTTCCGCATGAACAATTCGCAATGGACGTAAGCGTGTCGAAATTTAATTATTTATGCGATATTAACTAAATAAATTGCCTATTACAATAAATATGCACACAATGGGATGTATTTAACGACTAAATAGCCGAAATAAAATTTCCAATTCCCATTTAAATCGCCCAAACCAATTAGACTTTAAAACGTTTAATGTATTTAGTTTACTTACAATTCGACAGAAGTAGCTAGAGACGCGGGATGCGCCAACTTTTGGTTATAGTTATGTAGAAAACCACTTTTCAAATGTATAAAAAAATGAATTTGAAAGTTTTAAAAATTAACAAGGTATAAAACAAGCAAATTAGATGTACTTACCGGGATCGTTATTGGGACATTGGGTGTACTGGATGCCGCAAAAGTTCCATTCCGGCCGTACGCAAATACTATAATCCTGATTGGAGAGTTGCGCCCCCGCCACCGGATCGTAATTGTACGACAGAATTTGCCCGGAAACTCCGGTGAAGTACTGCAAGCACCCCTGTTCGGCTGTAAAAACGAAACTCTAATTCAACTCACGATTCTAATCCGAGCCGTTTTAGTACCTTTGTAATTCACGTTGCACGGTATTTGCAGTATCCGAATTTTCCATTTTCTCGGAAACGACGGTCCACTGGTCAGTACCGTTAGAGTTACGGGCGTCACCAGTCCCGGAGCTGTATCGATATACACTGCAAACACGAATTCGAATGGTTCAGAATCATTTAGAACTGCTCAGAAGCATTTAGAACTGTTCAGACTTATTTAGAACTGTCCAGATTCATTTAGAACTGTTCAGAAGCATTTAGAACTGTCCAGATTCATTTAGAACTGTTCAGATTCATTTAGAACTGATCAAATGTTGAGGATGTTGAGAAAGAATCAATAAGAACCGTTTTAGAAGACTTTAGAATTGCCGAATAAATTGAAATCGATAAATACGATAACTCACTGTGATTTCCATTGTTGTTGCCGCAAATGACCGGCGCTGGGTTCCCCCCGGACGCCAGGAATTGATCGTTGTTGCAGATGTGATTCTGGGCGTCGGGCTGCATGATGTTCAACTCGGCGAAGTCCAGCCTGAACTGGCATATGTCCGGATTGGACTTGAGCAGCGTCACCTGGCAGGATCCGGTGCCGTCGTACCCTTCCGGGTACTCGTTGTTGACGAAATAGGTGCCGTTTTCTCGTACGGTCGTACCGCACGTGGCGAAAACTGCGGCGATCATGTTAGATAGAATTAGGGGTAATTTGTGGGGTACTTACATAAACAACAAGCGCCGTATCCACCGGCGCAGGCGCCGCTGATGGTACCACCTCGGGCGATGCATTCAGAAGGCGATGTGCAGGTTCCGTAGTTTCCGTCGCCGTCCATGCATTCCGGAATTTGGTACTGGACGTACGTAAACAAGGATAAAACTGGAACCAACAATGCACAATAATAGACCAAAAATCACAAGATTTACACCAGATTTACAACGTGTAAAGTAGATCAAATGAAATAGTTGAACTATAGATGAACTATAATAGATTAGGCCAAATTTAGACCGGATTTATTCCAGGTTTGAACCAGATTAAACTAGATCAGATATACTAGTTCAACTATAGAAGAACTTTAATATAGTAGACTGAATTTAGACGAACTTTAGACCAGTTTTAGTGCATATGCAGACTAGATTTGCGCCACACTTAAGTAGATCAAAATAACTAGTTGAACTATAGATGAACTATACTAAAGGAGGCCAGATTTAGAAGAGATTTTGAGCAGATTTAGTGCATATTTAGATCAGTTGCAGATTTAGACCAGATTCACACCAGACTTTACATAGACCAAACATAACTTAGACCTAGACTAAACTTGTGGTTAGATTAAACTGGATCTAGACAAAATAAGACCAAACAACCACGTTTACCCATGGAAGATGTCTGAACATTCTGATCCTAACAAACAAGTCCTATTATATTAAAATAATTTTCTATTTATCCAACACACTGTTATATACTTACATCTACTGTTTCTCTGATTATCATTAGCTTTGGCTAATTGATTAGTCTTCGGATTGAACAAATCACCGAACCAATTATCCGACCAACAATAAACCACGGTAGGTATCACCGAAAACCAAACGACGACGCCCAGCATTTTTTTATCGGTTCTATATATTTTTCGGCGGTGTCTACGCGTCGTCGACGGGCGTTTTAATGTAACCCGTGCGGCGGAATGGGGGCATATATATAATTTCTGGCGAATTTTCACCGAGAAAAGCCAACGAGCGCGACTGATAGGAAGTAAAAGAGCTAACAATTCGTGAAAGAGTTTATTGTCTTTCGCCCGTCGGGCCGTTACCCGTTGCATGTAGAGCCGAAAATTGCATTACGTGAACGATTAATTTGGTTGTAGCATTTATACAGGGCGATTCGTGACTCGAAAATACGCCGAGTTTCTCCTGTTTGTTTTGTTACGCGCCGAGTAATTGTCAAATTGTTTTAACAGCTCTTTATTCGAAGAGATTTCTTATATAATAAACAAGTCACGAAACGATCATTATTGCCCCATTATTTACACTTTAAACCGTTTTATAACGCCTAACAATAGAATTAAACGCGCCAATTTATTAATTGTTATGAAATAATGAGAAGAGTCCGGTGTTTTTTTTGTAGAATGGTTTTGTGCGCTTTCCAATGGTTAAGTTCGTTATTAATTATCGAAATTACTGAAAATCTGGAACGTAAATATATTTATTTATTATTAAGAGATTTGTAATATCGCTCGAGGGAGAGAGATAGGTGGCATTAAAATTGAGTGAGAACCTAATTCGTGGTTTGGGACAATTTTAGAATCGTTTAGCACTGTTCAGGATCATTTAAAACATATTCTAGACTATTTAGAACCGTATAAGATCAACAATAATTCTTTGAAAAACTGAAAAATCGACTAACTTAGTGAAATATTCCAAAAAGATTCGAAAGTGAACCGATTATTATGTTTTTGATATAAAATGGACGAATTGGACTGTAAATGAAATCTCCTCGTTATCCCCATCTGTAGATGTAATATCGAAGTACATAATTTGTATTAACGAATTCTATTACAATACCAAACGTAATTGAATCTACTCTGAGAAGAGAGAATTAGGTACTAAGAAAAAGACAAAAACATTCCTTCGCTGATTTCGCAAGACTAAATACACGAAAAAAAAATAGAATATTTTAATCGATCTTCTTACTCGTATTTCATCCTCTCATTTTTAAAACCTGCGAGTAATTCCCGTCGATCGATCGATTGTACTTAATTAATAAATCGACGACGAATTTCCGAATTCTCTCACAGTCGAGTACATATAAACATATCCGCAATTTAATTAGCCCTAACCCGATTATCTTCGAATCGCAGCGGCGATGCTGCAGCATAAACGCGACCATATCCTTCATTAAGCGCCCGGTTAGTTCGACAATTTCTCTCTATACTCGCACATATCGGCGTCGTTCCCACGATCTTCGCATCCGGACGGAGACGAAATCAAAAATAAGACAACGGTAGTCGGACGAGATACTGAAGCACACATTCGTATCTGTCAGAAAGATAGCCGTAACGTTGGTAACACTGCATTCCACTTTACATCGGCCGGGGTTTTACACTTTACCTGCTATCGCTTTATCAATGACTTTATATATTATACGAGCGTATTTTTTGGGTGTACTCCGGACGTTTCAATATGGGAGAAATTCGGTGTGATAGGAGGAAAAAAAGGAAGGGGTTTCTCATCGATTTCTCGAGGTGTGTATCGTTAATCTCTCGAAGTGATCTAATTCGGAAAGACGAATGGTAAGGGTTTCGTGAAGGTAATGTCTTCGAGAATAAGGAACGAATCTGAAACTAGATAATGGTTGTTCTTCGAGCTGGTGGATCGCTTTCAGATGTTCATTCATGTCAATAGTAGCGATACAATCTGCGGTATTTGGGAGCGGGCTTCGAGCTCGGACCGAGTTCTCTCTACCTTTCCGTATAAAATACGACCAAAAAGACGGTTGTATTGTAAATAAATTATTTTTGTTTATATACAGGACGTGCTAAAGAGTATGGAGAATCGAATTCTAAGTTATAAGCTAGAATGTGGGAGATGTTTTTCCATTTTGTTTGGGTTTTAGAGTAAACGATTCTCTATAAATGGTTCTAAGATCTCCCTGAAATTTTTCAACTGACCCTAGTCAGTTCTAAAATGATTCGATGTAAATGTACAGTTCAAATTGGTTCGCCCGTTTCAAATGGTTCTAGTCAGTTCTGAAATGATTCTGGACAGTTCTAAACGCAACAGACTCGTTCCGATTTCATTTTTCAACGAAGATTATAATCGCATCTGTAAACTTCGAGGAACAGAATCGAAAAAAAACAATAAAGTCTTTTTTATCTACGCGCGTTAAAAATGCATGAATTTTATTACCGAAAATAAACTAAGGCGAATGACGTGCAGCATCCTCAATGAATCCCGAAACGGCCGTAAAACGAAACCGGGAGTGTATACTAATCCCGACAGAGAATTGTGCGTAAACAACCGAACTTGCGAGTATCAACGAATTATTTATCCCTTTAGCAATGCAAAGGAATTCAGAGGATGAATCGCGCCTTATCGGTTTACTCGGCGTTTAATTAAGAGCCAGTAGAATCGGTATTGGTCGGTATCATCATTCACTGCCTACCGAAATATCGGAACCATAAAGTGTCAGTGACGTCTTCGTTAAGGAGAAAAATTACGGCTTGCGGCACCGACAGGGAGAATGTTAACCGAAAAGTGAATATCGACGGAGAAATCACATTTTATCCGATCTATCTAAGAACGTAAAAAATACCGACCGGAACAATAAAAAATCCGAACGACAACGGTAGCGCAGTAAAAATGGACCCTGTTCTAGATACTTTTCGCTCGATTTACAGTTGGTGTTTAGGTATATAAAGTGTCTAAAAAATTACACCCTTTAATAAAATAAAAACCATAAATATTTCAGTTTTCCCTAAAACAGATCATTAAAAATCCCTTTACACTTTACACCGTTAATTATTATCCGTTTTTTATCGACCTCCTACCATCTACGCGCATATATTTTAATCGAAATTACGCGTTTTGATGGATTTCTCGAAAAATTCCGCCTAACGTAAAACCTATATGTATGCTAATTTCGTAATTTAAAAGAAAACACATCTCCCCATCAATTTATTTTTTTAATTATGGCCGCAACCCCGTAGTGTCGAATTTACATAATTAAAAGGAATACGGTGTTCGAAATAGTTGTAAAAGGCAAAATTATCTGGAAATCTACAATGTAGCGGAGGTAATGTTACATGCTATGTATACGTACGTGATTCAGCAGTAATTAATATTATTTTAGTTGAAACTGTGGGTGTTAACAAGAAACTCAGATTCTTAACAGAAAAATTCCCATATTTTCTAACGTTACCTAAACACTCGTTTGTTGGGATAAAAAACACAAAATTTATTGATTACACCGAACACTTATTTCTTCAGCGATATTTGACATTATTGACAGGTGGTATTTGACACTTTTGACAGGTGACTTCTTTATAAAAGTGCGTATTTTAGAAACGCCCAATATCGTTTTGTTAAGACGCAATGAATCAAGGAAACTTTTAACGTCTCAATTTCACCGAACCGAGTCCCAGGTAAAATCAACATCGATAAGATTTGTTGTGCCTTATGTTCTGTTAACTTCTAAGCGAACATAAATATCCCCCGACAGATTCTCCATGGTTGGAACACGAAAATTCCTGACCGATTAATTATACATTTTTTTGCGAAAAATCCACAAAACAAAGATCATCGAATTTGCGTTATATTTTTTCCTTATAATAATGAAAAATATTGCGTGGAATTCGATCGAAAAATACGCAAAAAATCGCAAAATAAAAATAACACCAGTTTACAAGGTTTTGTGCAAAAAAACTTAGAATAATTAAAAAGATCTCTAGAACCGCTCCAGAACCATTTGGAACTGTTTATAACCATTTATAACGATCCAGAAATATTTACAACTGATGTATTGAACGATTTAGAACACTCCACAATGTTTTAGAACTGTCGAGAAAGATTTAGAACGCTTCAGAACAGTTAGAACTGTTTAGAAACATTTAGAACAATCCAGAGTAATTTAGAACTGTCTAGAACCATTTAGAACATTCCACAAACATTTAGAACTGGTTAGAACCGTTTAGAACGCTCCAGAACCATTTAGAAAGGATATTTTGAACAAATTAACGAAACTAGACGTGCTATAGAAGTTAAAAAAAGGTCAAATTCGTAAACTACAGCGTTATAAATTAACCCCGTAACAACCCTCGCGTGCGCCTCCCCTGACGCCCGGGCTCTCGGCTTCAGATTTATTGCGAACCCGTGCGTTTTGTTAAAATTATCGCCGGGTAATTTTCTGGTTCATTGCGAAACAATGATATACATTAGAGACGCGTGACGGCCTACATGGAACCGAACTTGGGCCCATCTTGTTCTTCGCAGATAAACCCGAGAAGATACTATATTGTGGGAACCGGCTTGATGTCTTAATGCGCGTCCCCTTTACCGCCGTAGAAATGGGACATTTTATCTATTGTTTGAGGATTTCGATGTGAAAATTATATACAGGGTGTCCCGTAAATGGCATTCTTAATGGGTCTTGTTCGCCACTGAAGGGAGGGAAATTTTTATACATCAGGATGTCCCTAAATGTGGGCTCTTGTTTGTAACCTAATGTTTTACTTATAAAATGTAAACGATGTAAATTTATTTATACATTTAACTAGCGAAGGTGTAACGGTCCGGTTTTCGGTATTGTTTGTGAATGGAGCGCTTTCTTTTCGGATAATGGCCGGGCTATAAATTACCGGGCATAAATAAAACTGGATTTCGGTCGTTTAAGTATCAATCGGCCGGCTTCCTGAGATATTAATTTACGATTTAGTGCCGCTTTATCAGCGTCTACTTTTCGGGCACTAAAATGAGGAATGCAACGCCACGGCGTAATGGCCGGTTCTATCTTATCTGATTTGTATTATTTGGTAGTCGAATTCGGAATTTTTATAAAGATTACTTAATTTCTGCGACCGCTCGGTATCGTAAACTAATTTTATAGGCTACTAAAAATCTATTTAAATAAAGCACGAACTCAATTAGGACTTACCCGAAAGGAAAAATATATTATACAATCTCGTATCGAGCGTATATCGCATATTACGGCGCATAAAACATCGTCTTGACACCAGGGACAGGCACGAAATCAAACACAGATCCTCGATCGGACGTTATCAAAACCGACTAGAGCGTTTTCCACCCGAACCCATCGATCTTGCTTATACTGATAAACTGTCAATAGAGAGTTCCTTGCTAGAGTAACCCTGTGTTTGAACACACCCATGAAATGACACCGAGATTTAATATCTCCTATAAGAATTTATATTCGTTGTCAATTAAAAAAATCGCCCTTCAGGCGTTTAGTGACTTACAATAACAGGTTATTTATAGTTTAAATGTATACAGGATGTTATTGGTGTGCGCATTTCACCTTGTTGTTCAGCTATTTGAATCGGTCTGTAGATAAATAAGTGAAGATATTTTTGCGGAGTTCTCGATGAATAAATTAGGTGATAATGGTATTTACTTTTCGGTTAAATAGCCGGAAAAAAATTGGTCTCGTCGCGACCGGTAACCGATATTTAAAGTGCCGAGTTTAACCGACGTTTCGAAATTAAAATGCTGAACCATCTTTCCTAATTTCTGCCGGGAAGTAATTTCGTGTAATTACAAGGCGCAGCTTTTACTCTCGACACCTATAATTCCCGTATATACTGGCTCGAACAATTCCTATTAAAGTAATTCGAAAATTGTGGAATTAATCTACATAAATTGAGGCGAAATTGTTATTTTATGATGAGTATTATGGTGTACCTACTCGGCTTGATTCGGTCTCAAATAATTTAATTATACTTTCTATAATGGCTGATGTAATTGAAGATGTCTATTCATTATTTATTACTGTTAAATTTTGCTATTATTAGTGTTATTGGAAATCGTTTGTTCCGTCACTGGTGCAGTTTTTAACACCGCCACCCGTTCGAAATAAATTCAACTTTATGCGGTTAGAAAGAATGTCCTCTTGTACCGATGATATCTTTTAATCATTATATCCGTTTTCTGGGAACGCCAGCGCATAAAACTCGAAAATTCGAAGTTTTATACGAAACGCTCCGCTCCCATATCGCCGCCTAATATCGGGCCTTTCGTGTTTAAATTAAACTTTCATCGACGTTCGCTTTTTATTGGACTACTACATTGAAATTAATTATTTCGGAGATCGCCCGGACCGATTATATCGGCGATTTTTGCTTACTGCTTTGAAAATAAATTGCGGGAGTCTACACTGTTTACTTCACAACAACAAAAAAAACCAAGTTGTCAAAAAAATATAAAAAAACAACCATCGGTTTGTGTGAGAACTAGCAGCAGTTATATTAGATAATAATCATCCGCAATCCACAAACTTTGGGCTCTTTTCAAAGAAACTGGCAAGTCACGCTGGAGGAGTACAGACACGAAGGAACGACGTCGATTATAATCGACCGCAGTTGTTGAAATTTTATTCTTTAAATATTTCCAACTCGAATAATGACTATTATTAGGCGAGCTTGATGAGGAGGAAAACGAATAGGCCAGTACCTGCCTGAATAATCCCAGAAACAGTTTATTCCCGCAAATTTTATATCTCTTTAATACATTTTATCTTAATAGTTCATCTCGATCGAACAAAAATCCATCTACCAAAACACAATACGATTAAGCGTACGCAATTAATCAATATCCTGAACTAGTATATGGTAATTTTACAGTAATTATTTCACTCTCAACAAGTGCACATAGGCTATCTCGGCGATCTGCATTGTCCAAGAGCATGCTGTAAGGTACGAAAAACTGCACTAGTTGAATCATTTAAACCACTTCAAAGAGTATACAAAAAATCTACCTATATAGGATGGTATCAGAAGTAATTCCATCTAAGACTGATATTTTATATAATAACTAGTTCTTGCAATCGAGTACAATTGGTAGATACAAAATAAAAAATTCTCCTAAGATACTTCTCTTCCATTAAAAGATTAACATAATCGAGTGCAATTTACCCGCCACCGGAAGACAGTACTTTCGCGTCAGACTAGCGGAAGGAGAATCCGCACCGGTTTTTTCTCTTCTCTAATTAACCTCTAATTATTCGCGTTTGCGTTATATTTTTAAGCCGCACCGTCCGGATTATTAGCATATATTCAAATCGAGAGCGGGATGAACCATCGCGGTACCTTTCAGGCTCGAATCGAGCGAGTACCCTAGGCAAGAGGAAAGGCTTTTGGACATCGCTTCCCGCTGCGAAATCGCACATAAAAACGGATTTATTTTCGCGTTGAAACGTCGAGGATGCTCGAGATTAGATTGCGGGCGGAAAGGAAAGATTTATTTAGGAAAATTTCTCCTCGCTGGTACTTGTAGGAAACGGAATACTGATAACAATGGACTTCTATTTGAGGTAGTACCAAATACGAAAATTACTTGCAATAAAATTAAATGAAATAAATTGATTGTGAGGCTATAAATAGTGTTTGGTCCACAATTCAACTTATAGTACCATAAATAGGCAAGTACTATAGTGAAACCCATTAAAAACAGTGAGTAAATAATCGCTAGCGTTGATAAAACTTCCGATTAACCGCAAACGAAAATAATAATTCGAATCGAATCGGTCAGACGCGATAAAATAGTCCTCGCTGTGAAAAGTCGCCGATAAATTCCGTTCGTTCGATGTGAAATTTCGCGGAAAATTCGTGATTGAAGTAATCACACTCTAATTTCGGATTAACACGCCGCCCTTCGAGTGCGGAAATTCGAATTATGGTATCGGAAAAACATGCGGAAAACGGGGAAAAAGAGGACCGGAGAATACACAGAAGAAGTACCTCGTCGCTATGTAAGTTTATTTTTTTATACACTTCTTAAATAGTTTTATACGGGTGACCCAATATGTCGAGGAAAAATTCGAAATAGTCATCTAGAAGTTCTGAATGCGTTCTAAATTATTCTGGATTGTTCTATAGTGTGTTCTGGACAATTCCAAGTAGTCCTGAATTGTAAATGATGCTAGACCAGCTAGACTTCTAAAACGGTTTTAAACGATTTTGGACAGTTCTATGTGGATCTGAGATAATCCAGAAATGCTGAAAATTGCGTCCTATAGTCAATTCTAAATGCTTCCAAACAATTCTGGAACAGTTCTAAATGGTCCTTAGTCAATCCAATATTTATAAATAAGGATTAAAAACAGATATTTTGCAGGGTCGTGCGACTTCGAAACGGCCATCGACGTGGCGGGTTTCGGAAAATTCAACTTCTTCCTGTTGGTGGTGACCATCCTCACGGGTCTCATAGCCGTCTTCGAAGTGAGAACGATGCCCTACGTGGCACCGGCAGCTCAATGCGACCTGGAGCTCGATGTCAAGCAGAAGGCCATGTTATCTTCAGCTCCTCTGCTGGGTACTAATCACTAATCACACTCGAGATGATTGCGTTAGTTGTTTTTTAATAGATTTCTTCGCGTTTTGTAGGTATGGTGATGACTTCATTTATCTGGGGCTTGATCGGGGATTTGATCGGAAGGAGAAAGTTGATCATTATTATTTGTTTGCTGGACTTTATTTGTTGGATCGTGTCCGCCTTCGCGCAAACTTTCGCGGTTTTGATTGTGTTTAGGTTGTTCGGAGGGATGGCGTAAGTTTATTTTAGAGTAGGATGAGTAAATTGTGATTTGTGTTTTTATAGAGCGAGTGGAATTTTGCCCAGTTTGGCCACGTACGTTGCGGAAACGCATGGGGTAAAACACAGGGCTGTTATGCTGTTGTTATTAGGAAATATATTCGGCGTAGGTGATTTGTTGTTACCTACGATGGCTTTGGGTATATTGACCAACGATCAAATCTATAAAGTATCATCATTGGGTATGTTTGTGTGAACACAAAAACATAATACTTGTTAATTGTTTAATTTTAGTGATGCATCCGTGGAATAGTTTCTTATTAATTTGCTCTTTTCTACCATTTCTGGGCGGAATAGGTTTCTATTTGTTGCCCGAAAGTCCCAAATTTCTAATGAGCAAAAGAGAAAATGATAAAGCCATCGATGCCTTTCAATCGATTTACAGTTTGAATTCAAACAGAAACACCAAGTCGGATTATCCAGTAAGTTTCCACAACTGTTTATTATACACGTTTATAATTTATTTTAGGTAAAATCTTTAAAAAAATACAACATAGACGGCGCCGGTAATTTAGACGTCCCGCCGGAAAATTCGGGCGGTTCTTGCACAGCCCAGATGAGCCTGTGCTTAGAAGCGGAATATCTGAAAAAAATTCTACTAGTAGTACCAGCGCAATTTCTGATTCTACTCGGGTATTAACGATATTAGATCAACGTTAATAAACGCCTTGAGATTTGCATTCATTCAAGGTTGAACTCATTCGGGCTCTGGTTGCCTCAAATCTTCGAGAAAATGAGCGAACCATCGCGAGATTACGAGAATTGCTCCAGCAGCGCGTTTTGCCTCACGATGAGCCACTTGCAAAATACCACGAGAAAATTTACCGGTGACTGTCAACAAGTAATCCACAATCTTCTCCAACTCCATAATTTTTAACTCCTCGTATTTCGCAGACGCAGAAGCTCATGACGTACATCGATTGCATGCTAGCAGCCGTGCTAACGCTGATCCTCTTCGGAATATCTGTACTAGTAGTAAACGGTATCGGCAAGAGGAAATTAATACGTACGTTATTGATACGTTATTGATACGTAAGGCAATTCGTTAATTTTTTCTAGTTACGTTGGGCGTAGCTTGGTCGATTTCGGTTTGCTGTTTGTGGTTTTCGAAGAACCCAATCGCCACTATGGTGGCTCTAGCCTTCATTTGCGCCTTCGGAAACGTCGCTTTTAACGGTTTAGTGGCTATAGTTACGGATATTTTCCCGACGCATTTGAGGTAAGGTAATAGTTTTGTTGTATCAAATTTTTTTTGTGAATTTTAGGGCGATGGCTGTGTCCATAACGATGATGTTTGGGCGATTGGGCGGTGGACTCAGCTCCTTTATTTTCCCGTTATTTTTAACCTACGGGTGCTTTATTACGTTGGTCGTATTAGCAAGCTTAAATTTTGGTTCGTACTTAATGTATTTTTACTTACTTATAAACGTAATTGTTGTGTTACAGTTTGGATGTTTCTGGTTCATTTACTGCCTCGTGATAACACGGAACAATCAGCGAAGGCGGTAGACTGAAAAAAATATATCGTATTAATTCGACAGGTTGTAAGTATATGCATTGTAATTACCGCGACTCGTATACGTAAATAAATTACTTTGTAATCTCATTACTAGCAAGCAAATAAAAATAATCAGTAGCTGAAGCTATATTTTGTAGTATAAAGTTTTTTTTTCTTTATTAGCTTTTACGGCGTACTCATTCAAGTTAACGATAAATTTCTGTTGCTCGATGGATGAATATTAAACTACCAGTTTAACGATATTAAAAAATTAATCGAGTAAATTTTACGACGGCCGTAAACCGATTAAAAAAACGAAAATAATTACTGTTTTAACATTGTTCCTTTTATACATTGATGAAATCATTAAAGTACCACACATTCAGTAGTACCTACGCGATCGAGCTCGCGCAGCGGGCGCATAACATTCCAAAACTCGCAAAGGGCTTTTCCGTCGAATTTCTCACCCTTTCGACCAGTCACTTCCGGCATCAGTTATTTTAACCGGTCGACCGATGTCTGATAAGGGTTGAATATTTTATTATTTGTATATTACAGACGATACGATCCCGTAATAATGTTTGTTTTAACGACTCCAAATTCAAAGGTGCGTTTTGTTTCGATACACATTTTTCCTTTTAACTATCATTTTGGGTATCTTCTGTAAATAATAACGTATTAGTTACTGGTGGAGTTATACTAGTAAAAGATCTATTTGAATTCCAATTGAATGGGAACTATAAGAGTTGGGGAAAAAGTTGCGCAATTGTGAGGACAATAAATTGGTTTAAACGTTTCGTTTCTGAAGAACCATCATCAACACTATTTCCTTTAAATACACCGTTGTATTAGTACGTCCTATCTCTCTAATAACTATTGAAAAATGTATTAGAAAAGGGAAACTTTGTATCGAGCGACGTCTAGAACCTTTTTCTCCTTCCTCTTCGGCCATCTGTCTAGCGAATATAAAACACCTGTAAGATTGTAATTCTCTCCGTTGGCTTCGAAGAGGTGTGACAGCTGACCATCATTCTGATATCCTGTAAACCGTATTTGTATAACGATTCGTAACGCGAGCGCTATCGAACTGATTCATATGCAAATGCATTCGACGGACTTTTTATTTTTTACCCAGAAACGGCGTTAGACGTTTGACGAGGATCGTTATCTATACAGCGCGAAATCGACTCGAAAGTAACGACTTTTTTCCGGAATAGATGATCTGTAAATTACGTGTAATTAGTAGACGCAAATATTATAGACTCGACTCGAGGGAAAAGGTTATTTTTTTATTTGGTCGTGTAGCAAAGTTATTTGAATGCGGGAACTGTTGCGAACGTTCGAATAGCCCGAGGATTTGAAAGTTTAGAGAGGCAAAAAACGGCATGAGGGTAAATGTATCAGTCGGGTTGATTATTAAAAATACTTCGTGTATTCTAAATAGCTCAAAGTACGTGTAATTTTTAATCCCTTGCTTGACGTATTACACTTCACGAGAAAATGTATGAAGGTAATTAAAGCTCGTCGAATGTCCATTCCCGCATTGACTAATAATTAATACCTTATACATTTTATCATCCACTTTTAATCGAATATTACAAAAAAACACTCAATTTACTTAAATTCGTCTAATAAATAGTTTCCCTCAAAGTAACGTTTTCCCCATCGACTGTATAATAAACGAAAAAAAAAATCATAAAAAAATAAAGCAAAAGGAAAGCTCGACGGAAATATAACGAGCCGACTTATACCTAGTTCCTTTCAAAAGAAAGTGCAATAGACATTACGGAAAACGACCAAAAAAAAGCTTAATGATGCCGAAAGCGACGGAGGCGGCGTCGTTGTCATGGTTACGCGTTGCGACGCCGAGCCAACTGCTCATTAGTGAATTCCGCCAGGCGTCGTTTGAAATCTGTCATAAAAAGCCGACGGCCGTCATCGAGCTATGCGCGCAGCGTCGGACCGGAAAAATCCCCTTTTTTCCACCAATTAAACTCCGATTCGCCGGAAAATCGACGAAAAATCAACGTACGAACGGCATTAATAAACTCGCAAAAAATTCATACTAAGTAAATAACAGTATGTTTCTGGATATGTTCGGTGTCGAATCCGGTCCTGCGGCGGTCGTATTTTTATCCGAGCACTTGGTTCATTTGCAAAGAACAGCTCGCCATTGTGAGCGCGGATTTCTTTTCAGCAGGAAATTTTCATCCAGCGAACGACAGCACGCTCTGGCGCGCATTCATAGATCCGTGCATTTCAAAGACTATTACCTTACCGTGCACATACACCATACACACAGGCGAGCCCCGCAACACCGAGAGTCCTCGCTATTTTCCTTTTGCACTTTATTGCACGCACGCATTAGCGTCGCGACGCCTCGAACGCCCTATTTAATCGACGTAAGAATTTATACACAAGTGCTAGAAAATTAGTGAGTTTATGTACGGCGTAAGAAAATATATTGAAAGATTAAATCCGCTGTAATAATACGGTAGATTCAATGAGGACTCTGCACGCTCCAAACACCATCCCCTGTAGACAATAGAGCCGTCGAAACCGGAGGGTAGAGGGTTCCTGGTCCGCTTTGAACTTGCCCAGCCTCCCGCCAAGAGGGCGACACGTGATCTATTTACCTTCCATTTAACCAGCAGGAGGTCCTGTCGAGGATACTGTGAGAAAGTGGAATACTACGCTAGTATACTCGGGTATACTCGGAAACAAGGGTGGAAATTTGCGGATTGTTTTAAACGTATAACACCGGTTGGATAAACTCGAGCCAGTATTCGCCGCGTCTTGATGGTACACGACCACTTTGCTATTACTGAAAAATAAATATGTCGTAAAATCTCTAACACACACAACACTCCGGTCGACTCGTAAAGATATGCAAACATCTTCAGCCGATTACGCTCTTTATTTACGGCCTCGCCGACTTCTCAGTAAAAGGCCGAAAGGACGTCCGAGTCCCGCTTGTATAATACGCATTTTTATTAGGATTTTTCTGAGTAGGGGAAATTGATATCAGATAAGGCGGACTTCAATCAACGGGTTTTAGTTACATCTCATTCATAATTACTTCCATGTTAATCATACACGAAAGCGGGTGAGTGCTGCGAATTAATTTAAAACCACTTAGGTTTTATGGCCGCTTACCATTTCTTTTTTCTCTTCGGGTATATTTTATGAATTTTCCTCCGGTTTAACAGTAGTCGAGATCGGCAGTAATTTCTGGTTAGATGATTTTAAGGCGAAAGTAGGCGGCAATTAAGCCCGAGAACAATGCCTGATTGTAACAATATCGCGATTTTATTGAAATATTATTGTAATTTTCATATCTCCCTGCACGCATACAGTTCGACAGGAATAGCCAAAGACACTATACATGCGTAAATGTTTTCTTTAAGGCAGCTATTCATTTTTCTATTTATCGAGCGAGGTATTAGAGTCGATCTATAAGTAGAGAATTCCCACAAAAAGTGCCGCTCAAACGTGAGAAATATCTAGATTTTCATGAGGGTTGAATCGATGATACGGTGAATGCTGCTCGAATAGCTTTCTCAGCACGAAAATCCGATAAAACAAGTTTGTGAATGCATCGGCAAATTTTAAGCACCCACATGCACTTCACGTCGAAAAATCGCCCATTGCATAATAACTTCCCAATTTCAATTATGCATACATCGAATAGAACACACCAATAAAGCGATATCGATTAAAAAAAACCCGACGAGATTTTCTCATATACTTGCAACATGCACAGGAATTAAAACACGGAGAGAAACGGATTTAGATATGCCTGGTCGTACCAACAGCAATCGTCTGATTTATGGGCCGTTGTTGGTAAGTGATATATGGGTTTGTTTAAAGGAGCTATTAAAAAAGAAGTTTGAAATTGGACGAGTGTGAGTGTGTATTGGGCGCATGTAACTATAAATAGTCCGGGATAAAATGCTATATACGCGAATATCCATCGAGTAATCAGAAATTTAAATTGCGTTCGTTATTTGTTGAAGGTGTGTTTTAAACATATTAGAGTGTATTATATGAAAAATAGCTAATTTAACACTCTAAGAAAATAATGAAAAGTTTACACACTTTCGAATAAATTAGACAGTTGGTTGGACTTTGCGATAATACTGGCGGACATCGGGCGGTTTTCGTCAAAGCTGGCTTATCTGTGGTGGATTATAAGGAGTCGCGTGTGTCCGGTTTTTGTTTGGGCGCTCTTTTGTACCCCCGTCTAGTTTCACCTGCCTTTCGGGCATTCCGAATACGAAGTAAAATTGCTGGTAGAACTTTCGTGATAAAAATTAGTTTGTTAAAATTCCCAACATTTTAATTAATTAGCGTAGAATGGCGTGTAAATATGGAAGTTATGAAGTGGCGTTTATTTTGTGCGATTATGCAGGCTTAACAAAGCGATATAACGACTTATTATTTTATTTTATATAGATATTACTGGTTTAAAATAAAAAACGAAACGCGTTCATTATTCCACGAGAAAGAGTAGGAATTCTGTTCGAAATTATAATCCAGTTTGAGTTATGTCGTTGTCTCCGGTTGTACGAGAGGAATTCCTTTAATAACCGGCACACATTGTGGTGGAAGGGTTTTTAGACGTTTTCGCGAAAACGACTCGACTTATCTCTATCTAATTTAGAGCAATGCGGTCCGCTATGCCGTTTTTGACGTGTACAAAGCGATCGGGCGTTCGAAACAAACCACTCCGGCCGGAATGACTAGCACCAGCAGCAGTAGCAGATTGCTCAGATACCGGCTGTGATAACGTTCCTCGAGCAGCACCTGATAGAGCCCATTACGCTGAAATATTACCTTAATATAGTCGAATTGATTTGCATTTAGTTTGCTCGACCCAATTAGGACCGCAAATCCCATTATATGCTGTTCAACATTACATGTCCAGAACATTAAGATAAATAAGTACGTATATAGCGTTATAAAATTTGTTACCTTGGAGAAAAAAAAATATATCTGGGATATACAAAAGTTCCGACTATTTGTCAATCAAATTTCGTGGCCTGTAACTACTCGGTTAAAGCGCGTGTATTAAGAATAATAGTATATAACTAAAGCGTTAATTTCGTAGTAGATTTGTGATAGGAAACGTAGGTAAACTACCGG